TTGCAATTACCTCCACAGCATCGTTAATAAAATTGAAATAAATAAGAGACAAGCATTCACTAAAGGTAAAGGAAAGAGCAGTTAAGCTAAAGTCAAAAAGTAGTTGAGTGGTCCTTATTGTTAGGACGCATGAAAAGAGTACGAGCGTTTATCACAAATGAATCAACTGCAGGTAACTCAGTTGGCCATGAGGAATTGTTAGTGGAATACTACGTTCATGAACTATTACTTTAGTTGTTAGAAATGCTACCAAATCAAGGCTTAGTATCATTCAGTTATATGATAAACTTGAATCTCACCTCAGATCATTAGAATCCATTGGGATGACCTCAGACAAATATTCTGCAATACTCTTCCCATTTGGGGAGTCGCGTATTCCAGAAGATGTGTTGAGAGTTTGGTTGAGAAACTCAGTAAATGAAAAGAAATCATATAGTGCAAGACTGAGCATACTTTTAAATTTTCTAAGGGCTGAGGTCGAAGGGGAAGTAAGTCAGGTATGAAGCAAAGTGATCCCTATAGAAAAGCTCATAAGGATAGAGAAGATATTACTATACCTACTGCAAGCAACTTGTTTTCGGGAGAAAAAGAAATAAATAAAAATAATGTAATAAATTGTATATTCTGTGAAAAATCTCATCAAAGCAAAGACTGCTACAAAGCACAAAATTTAAGTCATGATGAAAAATTGAAAATTATGAAAGAGAAAACTGTTGCTTTACGTGTTTGAAAACAAACCATCGAGCTAAAAAATTGTAAAAGTAAAGTTCTATGCATGTTTCATGGAGGATGTTTCATTGTTTGTTGTCCAAAATTTAAGCAGAAATCAAAAGTCCCTGTCGAGTGCAATCAAGAAAATTGTCAAATTGGCACTCTTTCTTCAACAGGCACTTCAGAAAGAGTTTTGCTTCAAACTTTAGTGGTTGCCATTCAACATGAAGGAGAAAAACTTCATCTTTGAGCTTTGATTGATACTGGATCTGAATATTTTTATGTTTTAAAATCAACAGTAGAGTCTTTAAGAATAAGATCAGAAGCTCATAAAAAATTAACACATGTTGTGTTTGGAGCAAGGACATCTGATATGAATCATAAATGTTGAGAATCTGCATACTGGTTATAGCTGCAAAGTTTCCTGTGTTACATTAGCCTATAATTTGTGGATAACCTAGTCTACAAAAAGGACCTTGGATATCAGAATTAGCTGGAAAGGGAATTCACATCACAGATGTTGATTGTGTCAACCCACAGATTGACTTTCTGATAGGCTCAGACTTTGCAGGAAATATTTAAACAGAAAAAATACAGAAATTAAGTACAGGCATTTTTGCCATGGAAACACTGCTCGGATGGGTTTTGATAGGTAAATCACCAACAACTGGAGGTAAAAATTCTACTGCTGATGTAGTGACCTCCCTCTAAATTCACAATCAAGATATCAGAAACTGCTGGGAATTAAAAGCCTTTGGCGATACATATTCCTTTGAATTGAAATCCAGAATTGAAATTGATAAGGTCATAAACGATCATTTTAGGGCAAATTTAAGAGAAGACTATTTAAAATGTTTAAAAGGTCAAGAAAAAGCAGTACCAAAAGATGTTAAGAAAGAAATGTCCTTTTTGAAGACATTTAGGAATGATCCAAACCTGGAAGAGAATAAGAAAATTTTGAGATTTTATTTTAAATAAGAAGTGTAAAGGAAAATATAAAAATAATGAGATTCCAACTTATGAAGAAACAGATATTGCAGTGCTAAATGATGACGAAAAAGGTATGAAAAAGCAAGAATTGTTTGAAGGCAAGTAAATTTTCCTATTTGAAGAGCCAGATTCAAAATTCATTAAATGATAGCCAAAGATGATTAAAGATTCTGTCAGACGTGTTGATAATAAAAGAAAGAAGAAGCACGAAGAATACGTTAAAAGAATAAAAAGGAAAAAAGAACAGAAAAGAGATCTAAAATGTTTGAAAGATTTAAAGAGAAAAGAAAGAAAATTTTTTTAAGTTGAAAGAAGTGCCTGGTCAAGATGAATTAAGCCTTAACAAAAATAATATTGAAAGTGATTTTGATTCTGAAAACATGGCCAGAAAACGAAAACGCTTTTTAATGATGATTATTATGTTATTCAAGAAGAAGGATGTCCAAAATTTTCATATGATGAGGATCCTGATAACTGAAGATCGGAATCATTGAATTGGACAAAGTAAAAGTGACAAGTGTGGTGAAGAACAGCTTAAACAAAATGCTTCTGAGACATCAGGTGTTGAGATTACAAATTCCAAAATTTATTCTAAATCACAGGTTACGAAAGAAATGATTGAGTCAACTCACACAGGAAGGATGAGTGCTATAGATTAAATTATGAAGAGGTCGAGCTATAAAAGTGCCTTCTAGATTCAAGGACTTTGAACTTTAAAATAGACTTTTAAGTGAATTTTAAAATAGACTTTGAATTGAACTTTAAAATAGACTTTTACATGAACTTCAAATTGGAAGTTTAGGTTACATTTTAGATTAATTAAATATTTGTTTTGATAAAAATCCTGTTATCAAAAGATGGGAGTATGTAAACGATCCAGTAGAATGGTGCCCTAACAACAGGGTACCTGGGTTCCGAGACTCTACCCCTTGTAGAACAAAAAGAAGTTTTTGAATCTTGAAACAAAATAACCTGAGTATTATCTGTGAATGAGAGAATGAGAAAGTAATTTATGATGAAACATTAATCTTGCAAGAAGGAATTACTCACAGGTCATCTGCATAATTTTCTGTACAGTTTGGAGCAAATCACGAAGTTTCTCAGCTAGGTGATATTTCGAAGGAAGCTAATAATTTCAGAGAAGACTTTAAACATTTCTTGAATATCCGGGATGACAAACCAGGATAGGAGTCCTTCCAGGATGTTTGGCGACATTGTAGGTTCACTTCTCAACTTTCCACTGTAGCTGGCTTTTCTCGCAACTCTGCTCTGCCAAAGATCTGTCGTTATCAGCTCAGGAAAATTTTCTTGGGTGACATCTGGGTCCTGGCCTGTCCTCCTTTTTCAAACTTCTTCTTGTATTCTGTGCAACCACGGAAACTGCTTACATGGTCCCCTTGGCAAAAGATGCAGTGTGGTTTTTCCTCATGCCTCTTCGAACATGTGCTGCTCCTGTGAGGTCCTCCGCACATAACGCATCTTTCCGGATTATTGCATAGATGCTGTGTGTGTCCGAAAGCCTGACAACAAAAACATTGCAAAGTCCTTTTCTTTGGGTTGTATTTCTCCAAGTGTATGTCAAAACTGAAGATGTTGTTCAGCTGGAGAATCTGGTTCCCTTCAGTATTTCTCTTGAGTTCAACAAAAAATATTGGCAGTTTGGCTTTCACTCTGTTTTTGCTACTCTCAAACTGCTTTACCTTGACAGCAGGGAATTTTCTATTTCTCAGATCACTAAGAATAGAGTCTTTTTTGATAGAAGCAGGGAGACCCTTCAGAATCACTTTGATGTTCCTTTCGTGTTGTGGTTGGTATGTATGAAACGCAGAATTCCTTTCCTTGAGAAGTTTCATCATACTTTGGTAATCCACATGGCTTTTCATGTAAACATGAATGGCCCTTGACTTGACACTTGATTTGTATCCATCTGGGCAGTTTTTGGTAAAGAGTCCATCAATCGTTAGCCGATCAGGCGTGTCTCACGGGAACACAATGGGCTTCGGTGTTTTCATTACAATAACTCCGCCTTCCTCATTAACATCTTTTTCTCCCATCTGTTTGTAAGAGTATTTTAAGTATAGCATTGTTCATCTACATTCAACCAGTGTAATATTAATTTCCTTTTAGTTTTGCTTTGATGGCATCATTAATCAGAAGATTTCCATAGATATAAAACTTTTATTATTCTCTACATTTCTCCACTGGGAGACCCCCCCTTTTTTTGAATAAGCTGGAAAAAAAAATGGGAGGGGGGATTTTTTTTTTTTTTTTTTTTTTTTTTTGGAAACACTGACATTACAAGACCTTGGGAGATTTTAATTGAAAATTTTAAGACAAAAGGGTACATGCATTAGATTTTTATTTCATTTTATTTTATTTTTTCAATTTTGTTTTAAGTTCCATCATATTTATCTTTATCACAGTTAAAGTGGAACCTCGAGATATGAGCACCTCTATATACGAGAAATCCGAGCTACGAGGAAAGTATGAGCAAAAAATTTGTCTCTAAATATGAGCATTGACTCGAATAACGAGTATTGCTGGTATGCGTGGCGTGTTTCTCAATCCAGCTCAACTCGGGAAATCCCCTCATCAAATCACTTGGTGTTATTTGATCTGCGAGTTTGTGTGCTTGTGAGTTAACTGTTTTTTATATTTAACATGAAAATTATTATTTAACATCGCCTCCCTAGAAGATTGTTGGCCTGGATAGTGCTACAAAGAAAACAAAGGAAGCCATGTAAAATAAGAAAAATATAATAATAAAATAATTGAAAGTAAGAAAGGTTCAACTACATGGCAGATAAATAAATATAAGTGTGATGTAAGAGTGACAGAATTGGCAAAGGACCTGCAGCCACTCGACATCGACAATCGGCACTGATCTGAAGAAGAAGGAAGAACCTGAGAAACTTGATGTGGCCAAGGAGTTACCATTACATCCAAGCCCTGTCCAAAACTTCTAGATCACGTTGTTGGTATGGATTAATGAGAAGCAGTTAAAAGGCGATTCGGTGTTGGAAGCTATCATTTGTGCTAAGGCTAAAAATCTGTACCTGGACCTTCTCTGAAAAACACCAGGTATTATTTATTAGGAAAATTGATTTTTATGTTGATATTTTTGGGGGTGCGGAACAGATTAACTGGGTTTCCATTATTTTCAATGGGGAAGTTTGTTTCTGGATACGAGAAATTCGCTATAAGAGTTCAATGCTGAAACAAATTAAACTTGTATCTCGAGGTTCCACTGTATATTAGAAAATATTAGTTAAAATTTTTCCATAAAATGAAATACATACTTGGAATACTATATTTTAGTATAAGCTGTATACTGTAATCCATTCTTGAATTCTTTCTTGGAAAGTGTTGCAGTTCTGTAATGGCTCTCGTACCAAAGATAATACAACCTTCATCCTGTAATTAAAAATACATATGTTCATGCATAAACATAATAATTTTAACTTATCAGCATCAATACCTAATTAAAATACAGTACAAAGTCTGTAATCCAGACTCGTCCGGACTTCGTCGATTCCAGATTACAGATCATCAATTTAAATCTGGTAAGATGGCATGCAGAAATTATACAATATGAAATCATAATTTATGAAATAAAGAACAATTATGATCTAAAGGGTATCAAAATTTACAAAAAAAAGCTTAATATTTATTTGTTTACTTTATTAAACATTTCTTTCAATTTAAGTTGTTTAAGATGCTTCCAGAAAATTTCAAAAAGTTCCTTTTTCTTGTGTCATATATAGTGGACTTTCCAATGCTATACTTCTCACATAATTTTGAGACGAATAGGCTCAATGTTAGCTGAAATGCCTGGAAAATCAGGTGACTACTTTGATAAGTTTATTTCTCTTTTGGTTAATGTTTTGCACATGTTAAGATATGTGTCATCTGTCAGGCATTTCATATAAACTATCTAATAAATTCAACGTGGTTTTTCTCCTATGCTGTCTACAAAATATACTTTTTTAATAGAATGTCTGAAATGTTCTCCAACTTACACAAGTCATGCTAAATTTAAGCACATTTATAAGGGTGTATACGAAATGTTTCATACGTTCAAATACCAGCACTATACATATGTATCTTAACTAAAATTTCAATTATACAGGTACTACTATATTAGCAAAATTACATCATAAATCTAAAAATTTACATTTTATTATAATTGTTATTAAATCATTATTCTTAAATTTAGCAGATATATACAAGTTATTTATCCATTTAATATTTCTTAAAAGAAAAATAGTTTAGTAAAAAGAATGTACTTTAGATTTGGTTTTGGGAAAAGTAGTCTTTTTTACTTCATTGTATGAAACTGTAATCACAAAAAATTTCAGGTACTATATTTCAATGAATATATCCATATTGAACCCTATCCAATGCAATTTTTGTGCGACATCTGTATGCAAGGACAGAAAGGATTCTTTCCCCCCAAAAAAAATTATAAAACTGATATAAAATGAATTCTGAAGAGAAGTTGTTTAAGTGCAGGTAAGTGTAATTTTTTTACCATAGCAGCCATATTTGTTTACATTTGAAACTTAGCAGAATAGTGGATTTGTTGCCAATCTAAAGAAACTAAGCTTCCCAACAACAACTATTTCTTTTTCATTTGTCTAATTTCTTTCATACATTGTTTTAGATTTATCATAATATTTTAATAGAACGTGTGGCAAAAATTAGATAATTCTTTAGCTGATATAATTTTTGTGCATTCTGAGTTAATGAAAGAGATGTAACACTGTTAAGTGAACCTAGTGCCACAGTATCGCTATGGTAAAGAAATAGAGTGCATTTATTCTATTATGGTTTATGTGCTATCGACAAAGTAAATTTAATTCAATTCAATAAGTTTAAATGAAACGTAGGAAAAAATGTGTATAATTTAATATTCCGTGCAAGGAAGTCATGTGGTGCACACATCAGATTTTTCTCAAATTGTTTTCATGGCAATATACATACACATACAACTGTTAAGAATGAATGCCTTAAAATGGTCTGTTAGTAAGATAAGATGTCATAAATAATAAACTGTAACTCATAATGTCAAATGGTGTCTTTTTTATTTTCAGAAAGCTTAATGTTGCAACATTACTAATGATTTAATCCGGGATAACTCGCAAATAGTGATGGGCAACTTTGGTACTTTCTTGTATCCGGTACGAGAGTAACGGGTACAGACACGTACCCGGAACAAAATACCCGTTACTCAAGTAACCGTTACTTTGAAAAGTACTGAAAACCGATTTCAAGTACCGAGTACCCAAGTAACGATTTGGAGTACCGAAGTAGCGAAATACCGGAGTAACGGTTTGCTGTATCGAGTACCCTAGTAATGGTTTGCTGTACCGGAGTACCCTAGTAACGGAGTAACCCTGTACCGGAGTACCCTAGTAACGATTTAGAGTACTGAAGTGCCCTAGTAACGATTTTGAGTACCGAAACACGCAGCTAGCGATTTTGCGCACTGAAGGAACTCTGCCACGTCACCACGTGTTTGATTTTATCTGTACGGAGTAAGATTTTCAATATCAGAAAACATGTCAACTACGGAAGTGTCTGAGGAGCAGGAGAGCGCGGCGGGTTGTTTCTGGTGTTGGTTTGTGTAGATTGTCTTTGATGGCCAGTGGGGGTTGGGAGGATTGGCGCGGGAAGTGGATGGATGGAAACATTTTCGCTTTCGGTTGTGTCTTGTGTGCAGGTGCAGCAAAATCGATGGGTGCTCTATCAATTTCGTGAAAGGGGTCGTCCCATAAATGATGTCATGCTTGGAGGGGGTTAGTGAAATTGTGACAGTTTGTGACAAGGCGGGGGAGGGCGTAACAAGAGGTGTGACATCATATTTTGATTAAAATAAAAATGTTTAAAATCAGCAGATTGAATTTTGAAGTTATTTTAAAATTACCAAAATTTGAAGGTATTTCCTTAATTGGGGCGAAAGCAACTTTCGTGAGATTTTTTTTTTTTTTTTTTTTACTTACATTCCTTTCTTTCCAAAAAAAAAAAGGGGGGGAGGCATTCAGAGTAGGTTTTGAGAATAGGGTAGCATGAGAAATTGTAATTTTATTGCTATTGTGTATTAATTATGCTTTTGCTGTAAACTTTTCTCTTATTTCATGCAAAATAAGTGCATGAATCATTATTATTGTTATATTTACAGATGTCATTAAAACATATAGTTTAAATTTAAAAATAAAGTCTGAAATATGATCTATAACGTAGTGCTACGTTTTTGAACTGCAAGTATAAGTTTTCATAATATTGTGTGACATGTGACAAAGGGGGGAGGGGGTATGTTGAAGTGTGACACTTTGTGACAAAGAGGGGGAGGGGATTCAAAATGTTGCAGAAAATGTGTGACATCATTTATGGACAGCCCCAAATGAGCATAGTTGCGTACTTTGAAAATGTCGGAAGATTTTCTTTGTATGATACTTGAAGGAAGGGAGAGTACACTATGTTTTTTTTCGGCTGTGTTGTGTTGCACTGTTGGAGGGAAACAAAGGAAAAAAATCGGAAAATCGAAATTTTGATGCAACTTTATACTAAATGAGTAAAAATGTCGCAATAAATTTAAAATAGAAAATTAACTACGAGTATAACTAGCTGTGTAGCAACCCGATATGATGCAGTTTCCTAAGTAAATATCAGAAATTTAATGATCAATCTGTTTTAACATGATTTTTTTATTTATACAGATAAATAACATACCACAGAAGTCGTTTAATACCTACAATTCGGTAGTAAAGGGCATAGGGGTGCGTAGGGGTCTAGACATTAAAATAATCACAAACCTTTATCCCACTTATAGATAAGATAATGACCTTCAGTACCACTGCGAAATAAAACTTATTCAAGCTACCAAATTTTAAAAAAGATAAATCTCTTATTCTCTACTCTCCCCTATATATATTAAAAATTCTGAATAAAAAAGTAAGATAATTTAAACCTTAAATATAACATAAATGACCTTGTGTGTTTAATTGTACAATACTGGCATAAAATAAAATTTACACATTTATTCATATGAATATACAGTCAAAAGTCGTTAATTAGGATACCCATAATCTGGAATGATCTATAATCCGGACCTCAAAGCTACAAACTTTCTGCGCATGTGTCGCGTTGACGCATGCGCGTAAGACCTTTACCGCTGCGAATTTGCGAATGCGCGTGCGCAAAATATGCTTACGAATGAGCGTTTAATGTATAACGGACGGGATAAGCTAAGCTAAAATTATCTAATTATCTATTTCAGTTAATGTTGCAGATTGCGTTGTTCCTTAATCTTCGAATTGGATCCGGATTATTATTTTTTGCAGACTGTTACAGCAATTTTATAAAAGTAAGCTTGAACTTTCAATTATGTCAAATAGAATTTCTGATATATATTTACTAATATGTAAAGGATATCAAAGCGAAAGTATCTTTCGGAGTCCCATTAAACAAAAGTGGAATTGCGGCAAAAAATGGATAAAGGCATATCCTTTGTTTATCTAAACTTTAACGTTTGTTTATCTAAACTTTGTTTATCTTTAACGCTGGGGCGGTGTGCAATGAATTGGAAGTTGATCTGTCAGCACTACCCTTATCTCAAGGGCAGATGTTTTTATTTTATTTGGCTTATAATTGCTTACTCAATGTAGTATTTCATCTCGATGTACTCTGTCTTTGATATGATTTAAATCAAATGCCTTGTCATTATAATTCGCTTCCGATAGCGAAGAAAGTGACAGAGGTTATTGAAAACGAAAAAATTTCGATTGACAAATTAGTTGGTATTCTCGACACAGCAATTATAGGACTTGAACAGCGGAACTTTGTAACTGAACAAGAAATTATGTCTGTTTATAGAATTAAAGAAAAAATATTATCACATAAAAAAACGAAGCAACTTAAACAATTTACATTGAAAGAAATGTTTAATAAAGTAAACAAATAAATATTAAGCTTTTTTTTTTGTAAATTTTTTTTTTTTTTTTTGATACCCTTTAGATCATAATTGTTCTTTATTCTTTATTTCGTAAATTACGGTTTCATATTTTTAATTTTATAATTTCTGCATGCCATTTTACCAGATTTAAACTGATGATCTATAATTCAGAAAAATCGATAATCCGGAATCGCCGAAGTCCCGACGAGTCCGAATTAATGACTTTTGACTGTACATGGTTGAAGAGCTTTTCCACAAAAAAGTTTATACTGTTCTTTTTTAAATTACATTTAGGTTTATTTTGAGTTAAATTTGTACTTTTGGAGATTTGGCACCGTACAATAAACAACAAAATGATTAGAAATATTTTTAAAAACAAAAAATATGATTTTAAAAAAATGCATAAAAACTATATATTTGATTTAAACATTTTGAAAATTACCAAAAGCACTAGAAAATG